CCCCCCACTCACGCGTCGCACACCTCCTTCAGCACAGCGGCCAGGGGCTTTGCCTGCAAGTGGAACTGTCACTCACGGAGCGGGAGTGGGGACAAGTTGGAGGGGGGACCTGAGGGCGGGATAGAATAAGCTACTCCGAGGGGAAGGGAACGACCTAGAGGTGGGCAGCGGGGTGTGTGGGGGCCAGATAGGCCGAGTGACCTGGTCCAACTGAATGAGCTGCGGAATGGCGTCACGCATCTGGACGGCAATCTTCACCACGTTCCGGGGAGGCGCCATGCTCCAGACGGCCCTGAATGCCTGCGCTTTCCACGAACTGCACTACCTCCTACACCTGTCCTGGGCCCCTAGAGACCAGGACGTCCCGGTCTGCGACCTGGTCTTGGTGGCTCGAAGTTCTGCCTAGGAAGTTCCCACTGGAGGCCAGACGCTGCGGCCTTCCCACGGGAGCCAAGGCCAGTTCCGGGTTGGAATCCCAGGAGCTGGTGGGTAGGACCGCGCCTGTCCTGGCCAGTCCCGCGAAGGCCCCGCCCCGTGCCAAGGTGCGGCAGGCGTGGCTGGGAGGGCAGGTTGCCTGAGGATGCCCCACCTCCCATTCCGCAAGGCGACCCACCCAGTCCTGCCACCAATTCAGCACTGCCCCAGGGAAAGGCCCCCAAAAAGTAGATCAGAGATAGCCTTAGGCATGGTCTTTATTCAATCAGATACTGTACAAATATTACAATTTCCTTTTGCTGCAAAAAGTATAAAAATAATCTTTATATAGGAATTCATTCGTTACTGTAAATCTTTCTAAATCTTTGTAAATGGCTCTAAATGTGAGTAAATGAATAAATGGAAATAAGGGGGTATCAGGAGGTTGGGCCAATCCTCAGGGACCCACCTACCCAGATTCCTGGAGACCTCATTTCCACCTGTTAGCAACACCCCCCGCGGGGGGGGGCATCTGTAGGTTCCTAGGGATCAGGGCCCAGCAAGGGAGGGTGGGGGGGCTGCACAGGATGGGACAGGACACATGAAAGGTCCAAGGGAAACTGTAGGGTGAGCAAGTGGGAAAAGGTAGGGTGGTAGCTGGCAAGTACCCAGCTCTACCCCAACTTCTTATCCTGGTGGTGGTGAGGGGCAGCAGGAGCAGGGCAATGGGCTAGACAAGCTGCCCTAGGCGGGCACTGGCCAGCCTCGGCCACTGGGTGGCAGCTGGCTGGGGCTGGGGAAGGTTCCAGAAAAGGAGAGGCAAACGCTATGGCTCCATGGTGGAGAGGACTGAGCCTCTTTCCCCACTCTGTTAGCACAGTGTAAGTGCCAGGGCTGGAGTGGGAGGTGTGACCAGAACTGTACAGAGGGACAAGACTGGGGAAGCCAGGAGTCTGTGGCTCTCAAGCTACGCAGGTTTGGGGTGGGGGGCAGCCCCAGGCAGCCCCAGCTCAGTCTGGGTCCCAGCCACACAGGGCATGTCCTTGTCAGTCAGAGGTTGAGAACAGGAACATCAAAGAGATCACAGACACCTTCACTGTCGTCCAGGTTGTAGATGTAATCGTGGTCCCCAGGAGGAGGAGAAAGGCGAAGGAGGGGGGCAAACACTGCAGAGAGCACTAGACTGAGGCCCTGGGCCAAGACCCCATTCAGCAGCCACCTAATTCCCTGCCCACTGCCAACCCGCTACCCATCTTCCTGGGTACCCACCTTCTGAGGACATCAACTCCTCCAGCAGCTCTGAGCTCATGCACTCTGAGAATGGAGAGAACAAAGTTATATCTGGGCTCCCACCAAAGTCCATGAAGGGGGCTCCCATTCTCCCATCAGAAGCTTTACCCTTTGCCCCAGGAACCAAGCACAATAAGGTCCTCAGAAGGGCAAAAAACCCAGCCACAGCACTCAATAAGCTGTGCTTCTTATCCCATGGTGGTACATGGCCTACCTCGTGTAGGGTCAAAGATTTCTGACAGCTCTTTGGGGAGTTCAAGAACTGAAAGACAAGAAAGCCATGCTCAAGACAGAGGTTCAGCCTGGTCCCACAAGAAGGACCTGCCTCAGATCCTATACCACTCATCCCCAGGGCTCCGCACAGATGAGGAAATGTAGGTTCTGCCCAAGCCAAGCTGGCTGGTCGGCTGTTGGTCTCCTCTGCTAGACCTGAAGGACTCAGTGCTGAGCCCAGGGTTTCAAAGATCCATCACAGGTGATGGGCACAGCTCTCTAGGTCAGAGGCACTGCAGCAGGTCAACAGACTCCCATCCCTCACTGTGCTCTGTGTGTGCATCCTGTCTGAAGGAAGATACCCTATATGCTCCCACCCTTGCCAAGCACTTGCTATGTGCCAGGCTCAGAGACCACATCCTGAAAGTAACTTGGTAAAAGATGGGGTAGATACTTTGGTAGGGGTAGCACTACAGGGTGATGATCCTACTATAAATCTTTGACCATGAGAAAACATACAGAAAGAAGAAAGTAAAACTGAAGAGGACCATGAGTGACATCGTATGCCAAATTTAGGAGCAGGCCTTAGCCAACAAACGTACGTATGTGCACATGCATATACATGTGTGCTAGGGATCAACCCAGAGCCTCACAAATGCACAGTCCTTAGTCTAACACTGGACTATATTCCAGGATTGAAAGCACTCTGTGGGGAGGGGGCAGCACTTGGGTTTTAACCCAGAGCCTTCACACTGAGCAACATTTCCAGCCACTGAAAAAAAATTTTGAGACAGGATCTGACATTGTCCAAGCTGGGCTCAAACTTTGGACGCTCCTGCCACAGCCTTCAGGTGCACCACCATACCTGGCCCTTTTATAAACAGACAAACACTATAATCAGGGCTACCTTTCAGAGATTATTCTGTCAGTAAGGGAAAAGAGAAGGATGCTGACAAGTCTAGAATCTAGGTGGCCAGCAGTCACTCTTTGCTGAGGATACAAGACAGTGAGAGATGTCTCAGACAGAACTCATTTAGTCAATGTGGACAGGTGGCAGGAGAGAGAACTGGGGTGACACCCAGTTGTCAAGCATGGGTGGGTGACTAGGACCAATGGCAGAGTGCCCACAGAAAGGAAAAGGACATTTCAGAAGGAAATGGATTCAGTAGAGAACATGTAGGAATGAGGTATTCACTGGAGATGCAGAAAACAGCAAAAGACAGAGGTATGGAAATCAGGCAATAGATCTAGACAGACGAGATTTGACACTCCAGAGCTGAGGCTCTACCCAGGTGCGAAATGGGACACAGCCACACAAAGAGCCAATGTTTAAACTAGCATCAGGGAGAGATGGAAAAGAAGCCAGTGAGGTAGAAGAGTCAAGACTGCATCATTCAACCCAAAATGCAAAGAGTATCAGCAGGGAGCAAGAGAGCACCAGAGCCAAGCCCCTTGGGAATCGGCCAGATTTGGCACCTCATCAAGAGTACCACTGCTACCCGGGTGTGGTGGTGCACCCCTGTAATCCCAGCACTCGGGAGGCTGAGGCAGGAGGATCGCTGTGAGTTCAAGAGCAGCGTGGCCCACACAGTGAGTTCCAGGTCAGTCTCAACTACATAGTGAGACCCTATCTCAAAAAACAAAACAAAACAAAACAAAAAAAAGAGTACCACTGCTAAAACTCTGGTTTCTCTTCAGATTGTATAAATTTTCACCTTTTATTGAAGAGTACCACTGCTGCAGCACTGGAGCAGGGTCTTGCCAACTGCACTTTGAGGGTGACAAGGAGACCAAGAGATGGACATAAGTAGGAATTACTCTTTCAAGGAATCCAGACATGTAAGAGACAGGAAGGATGAGATGGCAACGTAGGAGGAGTGTCAATTTGAGGTGAGAGACCCAGTGATACTCCAAGGGATGGATAGATGGGCTTGAGACAGGGTCAGGGAGTTCCATATTGGCCCAGGAAGGGGCCAAAAGGGCACCAGCTATGGCCCAGAGGCCATGCATCCTGCTCTGGCTGGCATGGGGCTCTGGGATATCAGACAGAAGTTGACAGAGGTAGGTTCCAGCCCCAGTTCTGTGTCTGACCTAGGAGTGGGCTGAGGGGATACACTCTCTTTGCTACCCCCAGAGGGGCAGGTACTCACCACCTGTGGGGTCCACTTTGATGGGCTCAAAGGAGGTAGACGGGTTGGGTCCAGATGAACTGCTAGTGCTGCTGCTACTGCTACTGCTGCTGCTGCTGCTGTCTAGCAGGGCAGAAGACTGCAGTGGCCGGGTGTCTAACACTGCTGGGCCCAGCGGGAGTGAAATGAGTTCACCACTGTCCTTGCTCTCAGTTCCAGGGCCGCTACTCACTGCAACCACATCCCCAAACTCAGTTACATGGGGGCAGAAAACGGGTCACTGAAACTGGCTGGGTTAGAACCCATGGCCAGGATGACCACAGTACTTGTTCCCAGACCAAGGGGGAATCAGGCACTGCCAGTCAGAACAGAAAAGTAGAAATGAGTCAATGAAGGGAACAAGGCCTGTAGGAGGAAGGTTCATGGACAGGAAGGGTCCAAGGGTACATGAGTCTTGGCAGATCTGGAAGAAATTGCCACCACTGTTGCCCCTTCATGAAGTCATAGCTTCCCTGTTTGATGGGCTCATTCACTGCCAGAGAAGCGGGTGGAGATGGACAGGGAACATGGCAAAGCCAACTCTTGACAGTCTCTTCCGATCCTGATCATGGCACTCCACAACACTACCACCTTTGGGGCCCTAGAAGATAAGCCCATCATTAGCTGCCCACCATGCTTTACCTGTGATCTCAGCTGCTGGGCCAGCCACCCCTGGGACTTCAGTGCTTCCAGGAACAGGGGTAGAGGTGGTTAGCTGGGGACTGCTTGGACGTGAGGGTTCCTGAGGCTGGGCTAAGGCAGGCTTGGGCAGAGGTGGAGGAGTAGAAACTGCAGATGAGTTCTGGAGCAAATCCTCAGGAGGTGGCACAGGAACAGCTACAGGTGAACTCCATGCCTCCTTGTTCACCAGAAGTACCTCAATGGGGCCACTCACACTCTTTAGATGAATCTGGTACTTCTTCTGCCCATTGAGACCCTGGAAGTAGGCGGTAGGGGATGGGGGACAGGTAGAACTGCAAGCAGGCGTGTCTTCTACTTTACTCTGGGTCAGGGCCAGTGTCCTCTCCCACTCAGGCTGCCCATCCTCTTAGATAACCCCAAACCCCAGGCCTCCCCCTACCTGCCCCACCCGGGTCTTATCAGACTCCACAGCCAGCACCCGCCCTCATAACCAGCTGACATCGCCTAGCTAGGCTGAGCACCCACCTCTGGGATGGGCACCTCCAGGCTGGTGCCTGATGGGGCCCGGATGGCCAGAAGAGTGTCTCCTAGAACAAGGACAATGGGTCAGGGCCATGGACTCAACCTGAGCTCTGAATGGAGATGCTTGCCCCCAGGAATAAGATAAGAGACCACATTCTAAGGGAAGAGACAGTAGGCATCTGTCATCTCTACAGCAGCTGGGGCAAAGCTAAAACTTCTTTCCAACAGCCATAACTCAGTGACCAGGAAATCTGGGTTCAAACATATTTGTGGAGTGACACATCACTGGCCATGAACACCTCACTCCACAACTGATGATGCTGATCCCTAGAAATAGGTTTTTCTGGCCAAGGGCAATATCCCCTTCCCAGAATAAGTCTAGGAGATACAAGATAGAGAAGGGTCAGCTCCAGTGTCCACAATGCAACTGAAGTAACACCAGGATCAAAGTGGGAGCTATTGTCCCTGTGCATAAGCACGAGAAAATACACACACAAGTGTGCTCTCTTTCTCTCTTTCCTTTTTGCCTCTGTCATGCCCCAAAAGCCAAAACCAGAGTAGCGCTGATAGTGGCAAACCCAGGGACCCATCCAAGGATGTTTTCAGTATAGTTGGTCTCCAACCAAATGATACTCCAAATAAGGACTTACCCTACCTGGTACCTCTTTGGGCAGGGCTCAGGAACCCTCTTAAGAGATGGAACTCTCCTGGCCATAGAGCCCAATGCAAAAAGCTGTGGCTCAGCCCAGGCCCACCCCCATCTTCCCCTACCCAGGCTCTGCTCACCAGCAAAGCATCTGCAGATGTCCTCATGAGTCACGTAGGCCAAAGTGTGGGGGTTAAGGAGAATGGCCGATGCCCTGCATGTAGTCAGATGACAGAACATAGAGGAGACCCAACTCTCTAACAGAAGTCTGACGCACAAGCCCTCAGAGAAAGTTTTGGTGCCTGGGTTACACATGGGGAGGGATCGTGGGCTAAGACTGGGCAAGGGAGCGTCTCTGCAGAGAAAGCCTAAACCTGGGACCTAGACAGGGGATACAGAACCATCCTCCCAAGAGGGACAGGGCTCAGGACACCACAAAACAAACCCAGCTGGATCAGAGGGCCCCTTTTCTATTCCCCCAGAGCAGGGACCACCAGGAGGATATCAGCTGTTCTGCACGTCCTCTGTGACATTTCGGATGCTCTGCTGCACCCACACTTTGTGCTGGTCAAGTTCTTGCTCTCGCTGCTGCAAATCTTCGATCTCTGCCTTGAGCTCAATCAGCTTGTCAGCGATCTCCCGAGTATTGCAGCCAGGCCCCACGCCCCTGAGCCAAGGGAGTAAGACTGAAAGGGACTGCTGAAAATTCCAAGTCCCATGCCCCTCCTGCCTCCTGCACCCTCCACCCCACACCCCTGGCAATAGGAGATCCTACTGCCCTTCCATATATAATTCCACTCACTTCCACTGGATGCTGTTCTTGGATTTTTTCTCAATCAGCCCAATACCTTCCAAAACGTTGGTAATGTCATATATCCGCCGCTTCTGGCGCACAGCTAGGGTGTCAGCTGCCTGGCAGACAAAACAGAGTGGTGCATACTCAGTCCCACTCTCAGGTATACATCCCAGTTACCTTGGGGAGGTCTGGAAAGAGGGTTGCCTGGGTTCCAATCCATAGCCTCCACGGCCCTATAGCAGCTCAGGACCGAAGGTCAGAACAAGACCTGAGTGTTACGATACTGTTTTTCCCTATGCCAGCAAGGAAGGGCCACGAGGGCCAGCACTTTGCAACCCCGAGCCTGGCACGCAGTTGATGCTCAATGGCTTCGGCCGAATGAATGAAAAGGTCCCCGGGGCCTCTTTCCTGTGAGAAGGCACAAGGATGGCGGGCGTCCCTAGGAGGACTCAGGGCCGCCCTGGGGGTTCTCGTTACCGGCCAAGGCCTGGCCCACCATGCCCTCTGTCGCCCGTTAGCCCAGGCCGCACCAGCTTGAGGTCAAGCACGCCGTCCTTGGCTTCCTGTAGAAGTGACACGAACTTGGTGGTGAGAAGTCCCAGGCTCTTCTCATGCCGGCTTGGGGTTCCCGGGGGC